AAGAAATACCACACAATACCACCCTGATACGCGGTGGTATCTTGTGGTACACAATGTTAAAAGTCATAAATGACAATTAATATACTTCTACTATCATGTATTCAACAATCATACAATCTTGGTTTGTTCATACCACCATGGTACGCTTTTCAAACCATAGGTATGCTCTTACTTCAATACCACTCAATACCATATGGTATAGACTGGTAAAAAATGGCTCAATTTTTTTCGAAAAATATATCAAAGTGGATATCATTTTGAAAAGCACAATTAATCTGATCTAACTGTGCAAAAAAATTAAATTTTGACTTAAAACGAGTGAGAAATCGTCCGTCAAAGATTAAGGAGGGGAAAATTAAAAGCTTTCCAGGAGAGAGAAGGACGGTGATGTCATGCTGATGTGGACTGGTTACTCATGATTACTCACCATAAGGTTACTGATTTGATCCGTTCCTCCGGATTACCGTTTAAGTTAGGGTGATTATACACAGGCACTTGCATAATTAGATCTAAGTTCTTAGTTTTGACTTTTGAGTGGGACACAAGGGCCGAGATTTAAAAGATGTGATTAAAGAGTTTTTTCACACTAGCTTTTATAATCAACTTTTAATTTTTTTTCATTGTAACTTGAATTTCAAAGAATTTTATCAGATGTACAAGTTTGTTGTGATTTACAAAATGATATTTATGTTTAATATATTTCGAGAAATTTTTTTTATATATACCACTCGTTATCACCCTGGTACAAGCTTCGTTTGTAACTCAAATTTTGAAAAAAGTTCACATACGAAACGAGTTCATCATATTCTATTGGGTGGTAACTGGTGGTAAACAAGGATTGAATGTGGGCTCAATCACAACATGCATCGATGATTCATCTATTGTATCACTCTATTACATACAGTAAAGTTGTTCTCTACATGTGCATGCGCCTCTTGCAATAGAGATTTAGCTAGCTAATCCGTATTTTTGCGAAATGACATCAACTAATTAATGAAAAACAAGAAAGTTAGGATAGAACACGACTAATTTTGGGCTTCTTCAAACTATAATCGATGGTTTATAGCATCAGTGATATAACAATCAAGCATTGATACTACTCGAGGTATATATGGTTGATCATTCCCTCTAATACTAGTGTAGCATCAATGAGGTATCACTAGATGGTAATTTCTTATCAGTCTAGGTAATACTAAGCAAAATGCATATAGTAGCCTAAATAGAATCATAAGCATCGAAAATGATGATAAATAAGCATCCATACTATATAAACATTAATGACCATCACATAAGCATCGAAACATAAGCATCCATGCATAGGCAATAGGAATCGAGATTCGCATAGACAAATGCAAATATGAAATAAAATAATAGCATTCATTCACATAATGATAAACGGGTTCACATGACCTTACAATCAATTTTAACTAGCTATATAGAATAAAATGGGTAAAGAATAAAATAACACACACAGAGTTTCAACAAAATGGCGAGAAACTAAATAACTGTAACATGCCGAACCTTTTTCCAACAAAGATATTGTCCGCTTTGGGCCTCGACCCTCACAGTTGTTGACTTGGGGTGCAATTCAATGTGACTTCCCACAAGGTCACTCGTCCTTGTTGTACTCCACACTAAGCACGGTTAACTTCGAAGTTCTCACAAAAATTCCTCAATTTCACCCCAAAACGCGTCTTCTCAGTTAAGATCGGTCTCATAATAATAAATCATAGATCCCTCCCGTACTTTATCGTTTTGAAATTTGTTTAACGTGTTACAATTACTCAACACCAATAAATTAATATATTTTATACAATGGATGTATTCACTAAATACACCATTGAATGCATGTATCAAACACATGTATCAAACAACCCTTCAAACACGACAAGGGGGCTATTTCTTTTTTTACCCTTCAAACATAGACCAAAGAGAGAATTTTAGAAACAAGAAGACACATATTTAAATTTCCAAAATAATCAAAATGGTAGGGGAAAAAAAAGGCAGCTGCTTTGTAGAAATCAACGCCGTTGTCTTGAAGCCGACGAGAGGAGTTCGAGTTCCAAATTCCTGAAGGTGGCGAGAACCAGTATGTGCATGGCTCTAAGATTCAAGTCCTGCGAGTTTGTATATTCACATTTTCATTTCACCACGCAGCCATTGTACATGGGCTCTTCTTCAAGCAAGTGTCTGACGACCGTAGTGATCTTGAAGGTGCGACATTGATTCAGGGGGCCGCCACGAACGACCGACAACTTCAATGATGGACGATTGTTGCATCCATCGCGTAAATCGTAACAAAGATAAAAGTAGACTAGGGTTTAGGGGTTTTCTTCTTGTACTTTTCTTATTCCTCCAAAACAAATACTTCTAGTACTCTTACATGCTTGCATAATACGAAAGGAAACCGAAACAACAAGGAAAGAAAGACCGAGAGAATAATAATTAGTCTAGATACTGCGGGTTGGGCTTGGGCTGGCGGTTGGACTGGCGTGGGATGGCTATGTACGCGTCATTCCCGCCTCAAGCTCGGCCTTGCCCTCAAGGTCGAAAGACGGAACCGATCCCGGACAACCTGCACTTCTTCCCACATTGCCTCCTCCGGCAGTAAATGGCGCCACTGCACTAGACACTCCTCCGTGACCGGTCTCGCCTTGCGACTCTAACGATGGTCAAGTGTTCGGACCATAACTACCTCGAGATCACCATCATCGCCTACCAGCGGTGGAGGCACCATGTGCCGATCACCATCTCCCACATACCTCTTCAACAACAAAACGTGGAAGCATGGGTGAACTCGAGCCGAGGAGGGTAAATCCAGCTTATAAGCGACGACCCCAACTCTCTTGAGTACACTGTACAGACCAAAATATCGAGCAACAAGCTTTTGGGAAGCTTGGCGGAACACGGTTGACTGCCAATATGGGTGAAGTCGTAGAAGAACCCATTCCCCTTTTTCGTACGAAACATCCCCAGGACTAACATCAACGAGCTGCTTTGCCCTATTGTTGGAGGCAACCAGGTTCTGATGAAGTTGAGCTAATGCTTCATCCCGCTCCTTGAGGAGCTCGTCAACCCGGCAACCCCAACCACCGCACATGACCGATCCGCATAGGGAACCACAGAAAGAGGGGCTCGGCCATAGAGTGCTGTTGGGCGCAGCGGACGAGAATAGAGGTGAATATATTGGACTAAAAAATCACACGCTTGTAAAAAGTTCCCGGGTAAGTTGGACCTGGCGGTAAACCTCCAGAATTACGGTAACCAACTTCCTTTGACCAATTTACTTCGGTAATTTAATAATGCAATATAATATACTACGACTAATCTCAAAACAAACAACAAGCATAGATGGTAATTTAAATGGCACCGAGGATTTACGTGGTATCCCCTTAACTTAAGGGGCAGTCCACGGGAACAGCAGCTCCGAAGTATTTCTTCACTATAACAGTAGGTTACAGAGAATTTCAAGATACATGGAAATAGAACACTCGGTGTTTACCAAAACAACCTCACTATTTCACTCACAAGAAATCTCCTATCTACTCGTGGTAGTGAAAACGTTTTACCACCAAAACCCACAAAAGAAATAAGAACAGGAGGAGAGCACAAAGGAAATGGAGAGAATGGTGTGTTGAGAGATATTGAAATGAGGCAAATGCCTCCGCATTTTATAGGCAGGGAAGGGAGAAGATGCTTGGCTCTTCGGCATCTGAAGAGCCACATGAGGCGGGCCAACTTGCCTCTTCGGCTTCTGAAGGGCCATCTTGGCTCTTCGGCTTCTGAAGGGCCATCTTGGCTCTTCGGTTTCTGAAGAGTCAACTTGGCACTTCGGCTTTCGAAGAGTCAACTTGGCACTTCGGCTTTCGAAGAGCCACATGCCAACAATTCTCCCCCGCCCGACTACATGGGCGACTTCAACATCCCTGCAGCTGATCGACAGAACTCAAACTTTTCTCTTGGAAGGGCCTTGGTACACATGTCAGATCCATTTTCGTCAGTATGGATCTTCTCCAGTTGTAACTGCTTCATTTCAAGCACATCTCGTATCCAATGATATCGAACGTCGATATGTTTTGATCGAGCATGAAATGAAGCGTTCTTCGCAAGATGAATAGCACTCTGACTGTCACAGAACAGCTGCGGTCGTTCGTGTAGGAACCAAGTTCTTTCAAGAACTTATTCATCCATATCATCTCCTTGCATGCTTCTGTTAATGCTATATACTCTGCTTCTGTTGTGGAAAGAGCTACACACTTTTGCAGCCTTGACTGCCACGATATTGCTCCCCCTGATAAGGTAATCAGGTACCCAGAAGTGGACCTCCTCGAATCAACATCTCCTGCCATGTCAGCATCTGTGTAGCCAACGAGGATTGGTTCGCCATCTCCAAAACACAGACTCATTTTAGAGCTACCTCGAAGGTATCTGAGGATCCACTTCACAGCTTCCCAGTGTTCCTTTCCTGGCTTGGAAAGAAACCGACTGACAACGCCGACTGTATGAGCAATATCTGGCCTTGTACACACCATGGCATACATCAAACTTCCCACTGCTGAAGCATATGGAATTTTATCCATCTCCGCCTTTTCCTTCTCAGTAGACGGGCTCTGTTTGGATGTCAATGTAAAGTGGTTAGCAAGGGGACAGCTAACTGCCTTAGCATTATCCATGTTGAAACGCTGAAGTACTTTCTCAATGTACTTCTCTTGTGACAACCATATCTTTTTGGCACCTCGATCTCGAATGATCCTCACGCCAAGAATATGCTTTGCTGGTCCCAAGTCTTTCATGGCAAAAGACTTGCTCAACTCCTTCTTCAAATCATTGATCTTTGAGACGTTCTGCCCAGCAATTAGCATATCATCCACATAGAGCAAAAGTATGATGAAATCTCCATCAGGAAATTTCTTCACAAACACGCAGTGGTCTGAAGTAGTCTTCTTGTAGCCTTGCTCCCCCATAACAGACTCAAACTTCTTATACCACTGCCTTGGTGCCTACTTCAAGCCATACAAGCTCTTTTGAAGCTTGCATACATAGTCCTCTTTTCCCTCTTTCTTGAAGCCTTCTGGTTGCTCCATGTAAATCTCTTCCTCCAAATCACCATGAAGGAAGGGAGTTTTCACATCCATTTGCTCAACCTCCAGGTTAAGACTTGCTGCTAGTCCCAGCACAGTGCGGATGGATGTCATCTTCACCACTGGTGAAAATATCTCGTCAAAGTCAATGCCTTTTCTTTGACTGAAGCCTTTTACGACTAGTCTTGCTTTGAAGCGTGGCTGACGGTTGTGTTCATCATGTTTGATCTTGAACACCGACTTGTTCTTCAAAGCTCTTTTGCCTTTTGGCAACTTCACCAGCTCAAATGTGTTGTTCTCATACAAGGAATCCATCTCGTCTTGCATGGCTTCTATCCACCTTTGCTTGTGTTCATCATTCATAGCTTCTGTGAAGCTTTCTGGTTCTCCCCCGTCAGTAAGTGACACATATTCAGCCTCAGGATATCTGGTAGAGCGTCGTGTGACCCTACCAAATCTCGTCGTTCGAACAGGAGAACCTTCTCCGGCTGGTGGTTGACCATCGTCATCAGCATCTTCTGGTTGAACTTCCACATGGGCATCTGGTTCAACTATCTCAGGCTGATCATGTTGTGCTTCTTCTCCAACTTCTGTAGGCGCCGGCGTTGGAGGTACTAGCCCAAGGCTTGGTTGGCTAGCATCAGTACTAGGAACGTCTTTCCTAGCAACAATATCTTTGATGGTCTCATTTTCGATGAACACAGCATCACGACTTCTGATAAGCTTCTTCTGGATTGGATCAAAGAATCTATAGCCAAACTCATCTTGACCATAGCCGATGAATACGCACGGTCTCGTCTTGGAATCCAGCTTTGACCTTTCATCCTTTGGAATATGGACAAAGGCCTTGCAACCAAACACCCGCAAATGTTTGTAGGAAACTTCTTTTCCTGTCCACACCTTCTCTGGAGCGTCATACTTCAGTGGCACACTAGGTGACCTGTTCCACACATAAACTGCTGCAAGCAGTGCCTCCCCCCAGAAGGATTGTGGTAGCTTCGAGTGTGATAACAGGCACCTGACTCTCTCTAGCAGAGTCCTGTTCATCCTCTCAGCTAGCCCATTCAATTGCGGCGTCTTTGGTGGTGTGAATTGTTGCCGAATTCCATGTTCCTTGCAGAAGGTAGCAAACGGACCTCTGTACTCTCCACCATTGTCGGTCCGGATGCACTTCAGCTTCTTGCCAGTTTCCCTCTCCACCAAGGCCAGGAATTGCTTGAAAACGTCTAGGGCCTGATCCTTGGTCTTCAAGGTATACACCCAGGTCTTCCGTGAATGGTCATCAATGAATGTCACGAAATATCTGGCACCTCCAAGTGATTTGACGTTGACATCGGGTTCACAGAGATCTGAGTGAACTAGATCCAACACATTCTTTGCTCTTGAAGGGATGGTACTTTTGAAAGCAACTCGGTTTTGCTTTCCCGCTAGACAATCGACACACTTCTTTATATGAACATGATCCAACCCAGCTATGGCTTTCTTCTGGGCCAGTTTTGCCATGGACTTCTCACTCATGTGACCGAGCCGTTTGTGCCACAATTCAATTGTGTCACCATTCTCGGCTGAGTTGACAATCTCTGGGGAGATCTTGGCTTCCGTCACATACATCTTTGACAGCTTCTTGCCCTTGACCAACACCAAGGAGCCTCTGGTGAGTTTCCACTGGCCATTGTGGAAGGTGTTGCAGTAACCTTCCTCATCCAACTTGTCTACAGAGATGAGATTCAGGCGCATTTCTGGAACATGCCTGACATCCTTCAGCAGCAGCTTCGTACCATTCGTCTCCAAACAGACTTCTCCTTTGCCAATAACTTTGGAAAGGTTGCCATTTCCCATTCTTACCACACCAAAGTCACCTGGTGTGTAAGATGAGAAAAAATCTCTCTTGGATGTCACGTGAATGGTAGCACCACTATCAACCACCCAGCTAGTCTCCTGGGTTGTCAGGTTGACAACATCTTCCTCGTAGACAATATTGAACTCATCAACAGAGTTTGCACCATCATCGTCACTGTTCTCATCTCGTTTGCCCTTTCTTCTTTCGTTTCTGAACTTTGGGCAAAATCTTCTGATGTGGCCCTTCTCCTTGCAATGATGACATTGGATGTTGGCAAACTTGTTGGACTTCCCTCGACTCTTGCCTCTTTGCTTCGAGCCTCTCGCTTCACTTCTTCCTCTGCTTCTAGAATCTACCACCAAAAGGTCTGACTGGGAAGATGATGAGGATGCACATTGTGATCTTTTCCGCATCTCTTCATTCAGAACTCCGCTTTTGACCATCTCCATGTTGATAACTCCATCTTTCGCAGAGTTGGTAAGTGAAATTTTCAGTGTCTCCCACGATTCTGGAAGGGAAGCCAGAACCAGGAGAGCGACGACCTCATCTTCCATTTTTATGCCCATACCGGACAACTGATCCACGATCCCTTGAATTTCGTTCAAGTGATCTGCCAAGGATTTGCCTTCCTTGTATTTCATCTGCACCAACTTGGTTAGATAAAATAATTTGTTGTTGCCGGTCTTTGATGCATAGAGTGCCTCCAGCTTGTTCCACAGAGTTCCGACATGAGTTTCTCCGCTAATGTGGTTGTACACATTGTCATCAACGAACTGCCGGATGTAGCCACATACTTGCTCATGCTTGAACTCCCATTCCTCTTCAGTTTTGCCATCAGGTTTAGTTGAGCTAAACACCGGCAAATGCAACTCCGTCACCAATAGGAGATCCTTCATCTTGTTTCTCCATATATGATAGTTGGAGCCATTCAGACTTATCATCTTGTTTGTTTTTGCCTCCATTTGGACGAGGCTCTGATACCACTTGTTGGGCGCAGCGGACGAGAATAGAGGTGAATATATTGGACTAAAAAATCACACGCTTGTAAAAAGTTCCCGGGTAAGTTGGACCTGGCGGTAAACCTCCAGAATTACGTTAACCAACTTCCTTTGACCAATTTACTTCGGTAATTTAATAATGCAATATACTACGACTAATCTCAAAACAAACAACAAGCATAGATGGTAATTTAAATGGCACCGAGGATTTACGTGGTATCCCCTTAACTTAAGGGGCAGTCCACGGGAACAGCAGCTCCGAAGTATTTCTTCACTATAACAGTAGGTTACAGAGAATTTCAAGATACATGGAAATAGAACACTCGGTGTTTACCAAAACAACCTCACTATTTCACTCACAAGAAATCTCCTATCTACTCGTGGTAGTGAAAACGTTTCACCACCAAAACCCACAAAAGAAATACGAACAGGAGGAGAGCACAAAGGAAATGGAGAGAATGGTGTGTTGAGAGATATTGAAATGAGGCAAATGCCTCCGCATTTTATAGGCAGGGAAGGGAGAAGATGCTTGGCTCTTCGGCTTCTGAAGAGCCACATGAGGCGGGCCAACTTGCCTCTTCGGCTTCTGAAGGGCCATCTTGGCTCTTCGGCTTCTGAAGGGCCATCTTGGCTCTTCGGTTTCTGAAGAGTCAACTTGGCACTTCGGCTTTCGAAGAGCCACATGCCAACAAGTGCCTGGAATGGAGTCAACCCGATCTTCCTGTGATATGTCGAGTTGTACCATAATTCGGCCACAGAAGGAGTTGAACCCATCTTCGTGGCTGCTACTGCGTGAAACATCATAAATACTGCTCTAGGCAGCGATTGACCACCTGTGTCTGACTACAGTTTGAGGGTGATAGGCAATGCTCATCATGATTTTTGTACCCACCTGGTCGAACAGCTCCTGCCAAAACTTGCTTAAAAATACCTTGTCTCGGTCACTTACAATCATCGTCGGGATTCCATGGTGGCGCACCACTTCAGAAATAAAGTGCCCGTACTTAGTCAAATGATCCACCACGATGAAGAGAATTGAGTCCACATGTGGCAAACCCTCGACGAAATCCATGGATATCTCCTCCCATACCTGGTGCAGAATCGGTAGCGGTTGCAGCAGCCCCGTCGGTACCAACCCTTCCTTTTTACTCGCTGGCAAACGTCGCAAGCCCCGATGTAGTCCTTAATGTTTTGCACCATCCGTGGCCAATAATAAATCCCGTTGATGGGCCTCAGTGTTCGCTCAATTCCTAAATGGCCTCCCATAATCATGATGCGCATGGAGGATTGTCGTGATGAGTGATGATCCGGGCGGAAGAACGATGCGACCCTTGAAGAACACAAGGCCAATGGCGATACTTGTAGTAGCCTGGTTTCGACCATAGTGCCTTGTCACGCATAGCCTACAAATATGGATTACTAGTGACGGCTTCGTGTACTTCATCCCAGAAGGTGACCTCGGCCGTAGTTAACGAGTGCAAGGATTCCTCATGCCGTCTCCGTGCATGCCCATCCACTGCCTTACCACCCACTTGTTCTGCTCGGGAGTGGAAACTCGCTGCTCGAGCATATGGCACAAAATTTGTTGATCGGTGTGGATATGGAATGTCTGTCCCAAGAGGTACGATCGCCATGTTGTACTGCCATGACGATGGCATACATTTCTTTTTTATAAGTCGAACATCCTACCTTTATGGGTCCCAGAAGCCAAGTCACTGCTGTAACCTTTGGGGTTTAGGCCATAACCTCCCGAATGTATTCTGCCTCCAGTGGCCCCTAGTTACGGCCAAAATGGCAAAGTTACGGGCTGGACCGTAACTTTGACAGCCAGCCCGTAACTTTGAAGCAGATGCTGCTTCTCAGTTTCCTACCTTTGATGGTTTGGTCCTTTCTCCCTCGTCCGAACTAAATTAGTCTTCGTTTGATCCCAAACGCTCATACTCTTGGCCTCTTTCTTTTCATCCATAGAATACATTATTCTTTGTTCAGAAAATGAGGTAGAAATTCATTCTTCTTCGGGTCATGCCCAAGTTTCTTGCCCCGAATTGCCAATTGATCTTCGATCGACTTGAAACATGCGCCTATGCTTCATTTTACATGCTAGGACCTGAAATGTGAAAAAGGATCAAAACCTAGCATAAAATGGGCCAAAAGAAGCAAGAATGCAAATCCTCAATCGCTATTCTTGACCGAGAGAAGATCTCTTCGACAACTCAATTGAAACAATATGGCCGGTTGCTCTCACATGAGAACCTCAAATTTTCAAAATATTTTTTTTTTTGAAATGTGAACCTATTTTCTAAAGAGTATAAAGTGTCGTACACATGTCTACCTAGTTAGAAATATTATCAACTCAACAAAGAGGAAGATAAGAAAATCCCTCATACACTAACAACTCTTGTAGATGCAACTCCCTATAAAACACGCCATATCGATTATCTAGCAATTCAAAGCACATTGAGTAGGTAGATGCTACAGAAAAGATGTTTGGAATCCTCAAATTTGAAAGTTTTTGGGTATAATAGCAAGGTTCCAAACACAAAATCTAAGCTATTCAACACACCAAAACACAAGTAATTGATAGCAACCACTCCCACACAACGATCATCAACATCTTACATTGATGGTTCCCCCCAACACACACACTTGATAGACATATTGTCCTTAATTTGGGAATTCAAAGGTAGGCTCACGAATTGTTACAATAGGGTGTTTTGGTGGGTTGGTGTAGGTGCACAAGTGTAAGTCTTTCTCTTCGTGGTTGTTATAGAATGATAAACCCCGAAGGTATAGATGAAGGTGAATTTTATTACATATATAATTATTTAAGAAGATGAACCCTTCTAAAGACAATTGAAATCCAAAAAGAAAAATAGTACAAACATGTTTTTTACTTTATAAGCTATATGATGGTGTACTTGGGTCCTCAAGGGTCATAAAGGAGGAGCACTTCTTCATCGTGAAAACCTTTAGGCCCATGAGATGTGCATAGTGCTCTACACTCCTCTGATTTTCACGCTCGTCATGCAATGTGCACAGTGCTTTGGACTTTTATTCACTTTTTGCGCTTTTCGACCTCCAATCGTCCCAAAACTCGTCCTTGACTTTCCCTCACACATGCTAGGACCTGAAGTATAACAAAAGAATCACAAATTAATATAAAATAGGTCAAGGGACGGTGAATATTTACTATAGTCACTTGCATTTTTGGCCGAGATCACGGTCAGGCTTCCGACATCACGGTCGTGAAAATTGACTTTCGGGTTGTATAAAAAGGTAGCAGTGGGGATAGATAAAGGAGAGATGGTATTTGGACAAGAAATTGATTCTCTATATAGGATTTGACCCAAAACACCAAAGAGGAGTTCTAGTGAGAGAGAGAGAGAGAGAGAGAGAGAGAGAGGGTGAGAGAGTTATTCGGTGATCTTGGATTTTAATTGAAGGCATTGATCAAGCTTGAAAGCACAGAATCAAGCCTAGAAGAAGAAGAAGATAATGTGCTTTGTTTGTAATATCTCTCTTCTCTCTTTAGAAACTCACACCCTTCTCTTAGGTTCAAGAACCCTAGTTCTAGATTTTGATTGGGTGTTGTTGTATGTGACGAATTCCATGCTTGATTGTGTTTATCGTCTATTTGATGGATGGTTTTCATGAATGGCATGATTTTGGTTTCTATAACATATCAATGGAGCTTTTGACCTAGGAGGGATACAATCCCTTTAGAGCCCCTTTCTTGGCGTCTATGGGCCACTCCTCACCCTATATCGTCCGGGTAATCCCCGAGTTGGATCAAGCTCCTATGATATAGGTGTGCCCTAGGTTGAATCGAGCACCACCTGTCCATCGCTTCACCGCTCCAGGTCCGTCCCGAGGGAGTTCATCTCCTAACAGTAGGATAGTGAGTCAATCGAGCTAGGATGGTACTCAACATCGATCATACGACGAAGTTAGGAGGATTCAACACAAAAGAGCTTCCAACCTTGTAAATATCTAGGAGTGGTTCGCTAGGTTATTTAGTTTAGTTTTCATAATCACTATCCTAGGTTAGCTAGATAACGAACCCTAAACCTGAAATAAGGTAAGCTTAGATCCCTGTGGTACGATAAATTTTATTGCTTGCTTACCCAATGCTACATCCGGCCGTCGGTTACACTTTGCCGCGATTGGGATGGGTAGTTAAGAACGAGTCAAGTTTTTGACGCCGTTTCCAAGGAACCTGTTAGGGTACAATCCAAGTACCACATCGGTAATACAAGGGAGGGGACCCTTGTATGTTAGAGTCCACCAAGCCCAATTATTACGAGGCCTTATGGGAAGGACACCCAAAATTAAATCCGTGTGGGCCTGTCACCATCGACTGGAATCGTTTGACACTAAAGTACGTGGACGAAGATGACCATTGGTTCCAACTTCAGGGTATTCGGAAGACCGTCGTGAAGGACGACCACCTTCATCAGTTGCAACGACAAGAGGTGGCAATATGGGCTCTCTGCATTCCCAACCGAGGGGCTGCATCGACGGAATCCCTTGTCAAGCTGAAAGAGCTTCTGGGAAGGTACGTTGATTTGTTCGAACCCAAGACGCAATTGCCTCCCCACCGACCTGCTGACCATCGCATTCCACTCAAGGAAGGGACGGACGCA